CCGACTCAAACAAAAAGAACTCTGAAAAACGTAAAGGGGTGTAAAATATATTCATTAACTCTACAAAGACTCCTGCCCGCCTGTTCTAGGGAATTCTGACAAGGCGCCATCTGTGATCTGTCCGGTTCACGCAAAGCGAACTCTGAATGAGGCGTTCCCACGATGCGGGAAAAAGAACAAAACCTCATCCTACTTCTCTGCTCAACAACATAAACACAGCCCTGGGAAGGATACAAAGAGTACATCATGTCCGAAGTGGCAGGCATATAGAGCGGTTGCCGGCTTTGGAAACCTCGGTGATGGGTCCCATTAAGGAGGGGAAGGCAGGGGGAGGAAGGAGGCGCGCCCTTGGTATTTAGCAATGGGCTGTCAACGTCATTGAAGATAGAGATTGGGAGTTGCGAGATGGGAGGCCCATGGCCATATATGGCAAGCTCGGGATATCGACTCCGACTCACACAAAGGAACCCTGTTACGTATCCCCCGCTGTTCACTAAATACTTTCCATTGTTCACTCACCCCTGATCGATCTAGGAGATGGTTCGGGATGGGCAAGGTTTGTCCCGCGCGCGGCTTGCTTGGAAGGCGGGTGTTCCATGCGCACTCGAAACAGTAGACCCCTTCCACTCCCAACCACTCACTCTCCTCTTGCACGTTCCAGCTTATTATAGTGTCTCGCTATTTTAGCCAGGTCCGGTTAGCCAGACAGTCCGCTCATAACCGAGTGTATATTCGTGGGCCACAATTATAGCACAGCTGGTTTCATAAATTGCGATGGACTTGAACCACAAGGCTGAACGAGTGGTGTATATTGCTCTAATTGATGGAGAGAGCAACGCCTAAAGAGAGGGCAAAAAGACATCTTTGGCCCTTGGTAACAGTTACCGACTAGACGGGCTGCTTCCGTCTTCGATCTGCCGACATTAGTTTTGTTATTTTTGCCATTCGTCTAAAAGTATTTCGTTATTTATTGCAAAAACAGATCTCGTCCCTCCCATCTTCTGACATGACCTTGATAGATCTCTGAGCCTCCGGCCGTTGTCTGCTCTAGCAGTTCCTCGACCCTCTCCTAATAGAGGACACTCGCTACTCCAGGGATACACACTATGAAAGAGGTTTGCACAGTGTACCCGGCCCAATCATCGAAAACAAGTGGCTCACGTCACTACCTTCTCTGCATCAGGGCCTCTCGCCTTGTACGTGAGCCTGCCTCAAGGATACGGTGACTGCACATTAATGGCAAAACGAACAATGCTGGTATGTATATCGACCACTAACGTTACCCAAAATGGCAACAAACTCACCCCACCGCGTTTACCGCCCGTGGCCTTGTGGCTATTGCCGATAAAATCGATATCACCGCTCGAGTGGGGCTCCGTTGGTCATAAACCCTCCAGACCAATCCTCCTC